TCCATTGGCGATTCTGATGCTTTCTCCGTTCTTCGTAACTGGACCCCGATTCCATGGCCATATTTGGGCATGCGTTGGTCCACTGCCGGCCCGATCCCATCCTTCCACTCTCTTCTGCGCCGCCGTCTCGGGCTCCCCGCTCTCTGGGCGTCTCTTCCCAAATGGCCATATTTGGTCATGCGTTCGTCCGCTGCCGGTCCGATCCCATCCTTCCCCTCTCTTCTGCTCCGCCATCTTGGGCTCCCCGCTCTCTGAGCGCCTCTTCCAAATTCGCCGTGTTCTGATATCCGAGCCCCAGGCTTTAACCCTCTACAGCCTGTGAGGGACACGTTCCCTCACAATGCTTCCCATCGAACCCACTTGACCTGTGGAACAAATACAAAGATAACATGTCCAAAGATATTTTACATCCAATTCGCTTCAGCTCAAGAAATTACGATCTTGAGGTGAATGAGGAGATCCATAACCAGACTTTGCTCTTGATCGAAGATATGTGTTACCTCATGTGCGGCAGTTTGTTAGTTAGGTTAGGAATGCCAGCGCCAGATCGCGGAATGAATGACGCATTTAATAGAGAATTGGAACGTGAATATGAATATGATCCACATGAACTAATCCAATCAGTTCAAACGGATGTACCTCTGTTGAATCCTAAGCAGAGGAAGTCTATGATACACTGATAAATGCAATTGATGATGGAAATGGCGGCTTATTTTTTTTGGATGCCCCCGGTGGAACTGGGAAGACATTCCTCATGTCATTGATTTTGGCCACTGTACGTGCGAGATCCGAAATTGCGGTAGCAATTGCTTCTTCTGGAATAGTGGCCACATTGTAAGACGGATGCCGTACGGCTCACTCAGCTTTAAAATTGCCATTTAACCTTCAAACTCCTGAACAACCGACGAGTTTTCGAAAAACTCCGCAATGGCCAAAGTTTTAGTAGCATCAAAAATCATCATATGAGACGAATGCACAATGGCGCACAAACGCGCATTGGAAGCACTAGACCGAACATTAAAAGATCTGCGCAATGACTCGAGATGTTTTGGTGGTGCAATGATATTATTATCTGGCGATTTCCTACAAACACTACCAGTCATTCCAAGATCTACTGCTGCAGACGAAATAAACGCTTGCCTCAAAGCATCAATGGTGGCAAAAATAAAAATGTCGCAATATAGCTCACGGGCCTCTTATCCATCCGAGTAGTGAATATTTTTGCGTAAATCGGCTTGTCCATCGCCCACTACGACTAAATCCGTTCCGATATCGACATTTAAAAATATCGTATTCTAGTGCGGATCCCGATTGTGATTTTTGGTGCGTCAAAACCGCTGGGAATAAGAAAAATATCCTATTTTTTGCTTCATATCCTCCCAAAGTTTTCCCGAACACTTCCGTTTTTGTTCAAAAATCGTCCCCATACACTGCCAAAAAAAAAATATCCTTTTCCTTGAGGAATATCGTCCGATAGTATTCTCGGGCTCGACAGGAAAACAATTCCTTGGTTCTTTTCCGCACATTTCTCATTTGGCGTTCAGTATGCCAACAGGTGGGGGAGACGATAAGAAGTTTTTGTCGGTGTCTTCGGCTGGTAGCTCGTCCGTGCCATCAACGCCGACCTCAGATACTCCAAAGGCCTCCACTAGCCACTGCGGCGACGAAAAAATCGGTTCTGTTTCCTTCGCCGATCACGGATAAGGTGCTTTCGCCTCAACACCCGAAACTAGACTATTCTCGCCCCACACTTCCAATGGCACAGCCGACCGTCCCCTCCGCACGGGCCAAGTTGGTGGTCAGCCATCGATAGGCTGACCACCTTGGAAGCACAGCTCACCACTCCAGGGACCGCCACCCCATAATCCGCGGTCTCAAAGGTGGATGCTGAATTTGAGGCATGTTCGCTGGCAATGCTGTGCAAGGCCCCTGAAGACCAACAGGAAATTCAGGAAATGTATGGCGAGTGCTATGAGGACTATGAGCGGTGCGTGTCGGACCTCATAGCTAAAATAGACCGCCCAGAACTCCGACCTCCCGTGCCGCAAACCTCCCAGGGCGGCTGTCGGCTGCCCCCCTGTGAAATTGAAGTTTTCGCAGGGGATTACGTCCGCTGGCCGACGTTCCGCGACCTATTCACAACTATTTATATCAACAATCCGAAGCTGTCCCCGGTAGAAAAGCTGTACCACCTCACTACTAAGACCCGTGGCGATCCGAAAGCCATAGTAGAAAAGTCCCCTCTTACCAACGACGGTTTAGAGGCAGCATAATCAGCCCTCCGTAGCCGATTTGAAAATAATCGACTCATGGTGACCACCCAAATAAATATCCTTTTATTGCTGCCTCGCGTGGGTTCCGAGCAGATAGTGAAAGCCTCGAAAAACCTTCAGAGCACCATTGAAGGGGTTCTAACCGCCCTGGCTCACTCTAAGGTCTTCACAGTAGTCTTCTTGTTACTATCTGTGCCTCCAAGCTGCCAAAACTGACCCTGGCTCTTCGGGAAGAGTCAGTAACTGACAAAAAGGTAATGCCTCCATGGACGGAAATGGACTCCTTTCTCACACAGCGATACTTGACGCTAGAGGCCATGGAGAGCGACCCTTCCCAGGCTAGGAGCGATCCGCATTCGCCACCGTCCAAAGGCAATCAAAATCCGAAACCCTCCGGAAGCCACGACAACCCGTTCCGGTCTCAAGGCAGTCCTCTTCCGAGGAATCTTCAATCTTTCCATACCCACGTGAATCCGAAGAAGTATGATTAATTATTCAAAAAGAGAGAGGAGGAGTGTAGGAGTGTAAGTCCACAGCTAACAGTCACAGACACAACCAAAGAGGCAAAGTCAAAGGTAAACTTGGAAGTTTTTACACTGTGAAAAATCAACAATTGATGGATTGAAATGGTTGGAAATATTAAGTAAAAAATGGAGCAGAGTGGGGCAATAAATACTGGCTTAAAATCGTTGCTTTCGGGCAACTTATGGAATAATTTTTAAGTGCGAAAATCTGTGGCATTAACAACTTTGCAAATACTAAAAATCCATAGTCTTGATTGCAATTTTCAATCTACAAAAACTGTTTTAAGTGCATTTTCTCGTGTGCAATGCAAATTTTCTGCATGCCTTACTTGTAATTTTTGGCATGCCACGCCACGCGTTTTTTGTGCCACGAAAGTTTGCAGAAAGAGTTTGCTTTTTATACCCGGTATTCGAAGAGTAAATAGGGTATATTGTATTTGTGGGGAACAACGGTTGTATGTAACGCACAGAAGGAAGCGTTTCCGACCCCATAAAGTATATATATTCTTGATCAGCATCAATAGCCGAGTCGATAGAGCCACTCGGCTCCCACTGAAGCCAGTGTATTTCAAAAATGAGCCACGCCCCCTTACGCCCCCGTAAAAGGGCGAAAACCTCCCAAATCTACAATTTTGAAGATAAAAGAAAACTAAACACGCCATTCCGTAGGAAATGGCCATATCTATAAGATCATCAAATTGGGATCCGATCGGATCATTATTATAGCCAGAACGAAGAAATTAATTTTCAGTGGCTAAACCCACCCTGTCCCGCAGCTTTTGTTGTTCTTTTTACATTCTCTCATTCACACTCTGCTTCTGCTTCACTCGGCCCCTGCCTCTGCCGTTCCTCTGCCCATGCCTCTACCGACTTTTAATCCACCCGTCCCGCAGCTTACATTTGTTTTTGTTGTGTGCGGGCGCTGCCTCTGCCTCTGCCGCGAGTTTGCAGTGTGAAAAAGTGTATTAGAAAAAGAGTGACCATCAAAGTTGCGTGCCAGAAATTTTCATAGAAAACTTTCGAAAAATCTGCTGTGATAAAGTACCAATTTTATTGCAGTTTAAAATATCTCATAAATTGGAAAATAACTGATCCAATTTTTTTGATGCATTTTATTTATTAGGCTTTTTACTATGTGTTCTGTAATGTGAACGATATCTAGTGGTTGGCGATTTCTTCTACATCTAGATGTAGTCCTGAGTGCCGGGTATAAAAGTTGTGACGCGTAAAAAGCGTCTCACACGTCTCTTCTCGTTGCAGATAGTTTTGCCGTACGCGAATCTGCAAATCTTACTTTAAGGATTGTCAACGACGACGACAGAGTGTATAATGGCAAACGACACGTACGTTCCAATATTCATTTGTATATATTTGTCAGGCCTCTGCGTTTTGGCTTGAGAGTCTCTGGCGGGGACTGGCTGCGGTGTTTTGGTCTGCAGGTCTGGTCTTTGATTTAATTAACGTTATATTGACCAATTTTGGATGCAACATGGGGCTACATGGCAGCATTCGACCAGACGGTATGGCACGGCCATGACCACAGCTCCACACTTTACAGTCTGCACAGAGAGCAGTCTGTTCCAGCTACTGTCGGGAGCTGCGAGCTGGCTCTGAGTTGCATCCACAAATATATGATTGATATCTAGCTGTGGCTCTGGCTGCCTGCCTGCCTGCTGCATTCATCTTCACTTAGTTATGTCAGTCAGTTAAGGTAAAATGGAGCACATGTCTCAAAATGCTCACATTTTCTAGGAATTTTACCAGCGATCTGCTGCTCCGCGTTCGCGCAATTGGAGAGACTGCTTCGGCGTATTGGGGGCCTCATTCCGTTTGCCTAAGTTGGTCATTCTGGCCATAATGATACACAGAGATTAAGCAGCTCCTAGCACCATTGGTTTGCAAACTGTCAGTACTTGACAGACATGGCACATCAAAAAATGCTAAAATGCTAAACTGGCAAGCAAAGAGTAGGCATTGATTAAAATTTTCTTATGCATTCTGCCACTCTTAGGTCGCATAATTAGAGATCAATCTATAGAAACCCACCATATGTAGAGACTATCTATTCCTTGCCCATTTGTCATTTTTTGCAGCTCTGCAGCTCCTCTTTTTATATCCGGTACTCGAAGAGTAAATAGGGCATATTGTATTTGTGGGGAATAATGGTTGTTTGAAACGCACAGAAGGAAACGTTTCCAACCCCATAAAGTATATATATTCTTGATCAGCATCAATAGACGAGTCGATACAGCCATGTCTGTCTGTCCGTCTGTCCGTCTTGTTTGTCGGCTAGTTCTCAGAGACTATAAGAGCTACAGCCAACAAATTTTGGCTCCGGACTGCTGTATGCTCACACTAAAGCCAGTGTATTTCAAAAATTAGCCACGCCCCCTTCCGCCCCGCAAAAGGGCAAAAACCTCCCAAATCTACAATTTTGAAGATTAAAAAAAACTAAAAACGCCATTCCGTAGGGAATGGCCATATCTATCAGATCACCAAACTGGGATCCGATCGGATCATTATTATAGCGACAATGGAGAAATTAATTTGCAGTGGCTAAACCCACCCTGTCCCACAGCTTTTGTTGCTCTTTTTACATTCTCTCATTCACACTCTGCTTCTGCTTCACTCGGCCCCTGCCTCTGCCCTCCCCTTACCAAAGCCTCTTCCGACTTTTTACCCACCACGTCCCGCAGCTTATATTTGTTTTTTATTTGTTGTGTGCGGGCGCTGCCTCTGCCGCGAGTCTGCAGTGTGTGGGTCTAGGGAAGGGAGGCGAGCTAAAGGAGCGTGTTGGTGTGAAAAGTGTTGTAGATGTAGATGACAGATGAACAAAATATTTAAAATATGACAAAACACTGCTAAGGTGCAGATTGAGTGCCGGGTATAAAAGTTGTGACGCGTAAGAAGCGTCTCACACGTACCTTCTCGTTATGAATGTTTCTGCTGCTCTTCAGCATCGTAAGACCCTGCTTTACTCTACTCTACTTTAATTCAAGAATATGCCATCACAAAAATAGCTAACGCCCAGGCGAGTGCTCGAGAGGGGCAGGCAGGCAGAGAGAGTGAGATTCAAGAATGAGCCCACAGGACGTGACACTTTCCTGCCTGCCTTATGGCCAAGCCGATATTGTAGGTAAATAGAGTTGGATGAGATACTCTACAACTTTATAATCTTTCTTTGAGGGTATTAAAGGATACGATCTTCTTCCGCACAAGGGTGTCACCTAGGTATTTAATAAGTTGGTCACCTGCTCCGTGCCGTACCACACCGTAGACGTTACACCGTTACTCGGTTAAAGCTTATGACTGTGCAACGACTGGAGGCGTTAACTTGACGGTATTCTTTAGTGAGACCTAGGGATAGACGATTATGGTGTGCTGTGTATTTGTGTGTTGTGTGTTTGGCAATGGCAACCGCCCACTTTCAACACTTGCCACAACAATGGTGCGCAAATATTTACCAGGCAATGGGGCAGGCCACCAGACAGGCAACAGGTACCAGGCAGTCAATCCCAGGCTGCAGTTAGGGGGATCAGATCAGGCTCCTTCGTTCTCTCTCACTCTCTGCCGGCAGCCTCAATTTGAAATCCAATAACATTTAATTGAAAACTTCATCACGGGTGCGAAAATTCACATTCTGTAGAAGCCATCGCGATATGAAAATATATCTTTCATGTACTCGAAACTCCATAGGATGGACTGTTCGGCTGTTCCGTTTTGTTCCATTTCAATCGAAATAAATCCAATCCGTTATTGGAGACATGTCAGCAATATATGGCTTTATTTATGATTTTCCTTATGCCATGCCATATTTTGTGGTCCATTGTCGGACATTAATAGCTTCCCCTCTGGACTGCTCTCAAAATGAGTAACAAGAAATGTTGCAGATTGAGTTATGTTATAATTATAAAAGAAATGCTAGAACGGGACAGCGGGGGAACAAGTGTTGCTGCAGACAAAAGGTGAAAGAAGAGCAACTGTTGGGGGGAAAGTAGAAATATATTTAAGATTTTGAAGCGCAAAAATGGGAGTACTAAAACATGGAGGAAAGTAAGAAAATAAAATTCAAAAGCACAAATAAAGAATCACATAATTTATACGATTGCAAGAGCTTCGAGATCGAGCTTATAGTTAAAGAAAAAATATAAGTATGTAAATAAAACAATAAAGAAAATTATATGTCCAAAAATAGAAGAATTACGCCCCAATAAAACCTTTTAATAAAAAATTAATATTTTATTTAAATAAAATTTTTTAATATTTAATAAAATAAATGTATAATTTTTTTTTTTTTTTTATTCCCGGTACTTGAAGAGTAAATAGGGTATATTGTATTTTTGGGGAATAACGGTTGTATGTAACGCACAGAAGGAAACGTTTCCGACCCCATAAAGAATATATATTCTTGATCAGCATCAATAGCCGAGTCGATAGAGCCATGTCCGTCCGTCCGTCTGTCCGTCTTGTTTGTCGGCTAGTTTTCAGAGACTATAAGAGCTAGAGCCACCAAATTTTGGCTCCAGACTGTGCTGTAATGTCACACTGAAACCAATTTATTTACAAAATTAGCCCCGGCCCCTTCCACCCCCGCACAAGGGCGAAAACACCCCAAATCTACAATTTTGAAGATAAAAGAAAACTAAAAACGCCATTCTGTAGGGAATGAGCATATCTATCAGATCACCGGGATCCGATTGGATCATTATTATAGCCACAATGAAGAAATTAATTTGCAGTGGCTAAACCCACCCTGTCCGGTAGCTTTTGTTGTTATTTTCACATTCTCTCATTCACACTCTGCTTCTGCTTCACTCGGTCCCTGCCTCTGCCGTCCCTCTGCCCATGCCTCTACCGACTTTTAACCCACCCCGTCCCGCAGCTTATATTTATTTTATTTTGTGTGCGGGCGCTGCTTCTGCCTCTGTGTGGGTCTAGGGAAGAGGAGCGAGCTAAAGGAGCGTGTTGGTGTGAGAAGTGTTGTAGATGTAGATGACAGATGAAGAAAAAATGTTAAGTAGTACTGAGTGCCGGGTATAAAATATGTGACGCGTAAGAAGCGTCTCACACGTCCCTTCTCGTTTTCCATTAAATTTGAGGCAATCAAAAATCAACTTTAGCATCCAAGTAAACTTTGTGTTTTTGGGTTGCTTTCTGTTCAGTCTTCAGTAGAAATACGAAGCTAAAGTATTGTTTTTTCGTCACATAACAAGTGTTAAAGTTTCACAATATAAATTCTAATACGGATTTAACGCTTTTGGTAATTTTCATAGAAATAATCAGAAGAAGGCAGCGCAAATGTGTTCCGCTTTTAGATTGTGGTATTTCCAGTGATCTTTGTGGCAGCAGCAGCAGCAGAATATGAATGGGGCAGATCCCGCGGACTACTCGGACGAGGATCACGGCGACGCGGATCGTTCACCGCACCGCAGCTGCAGCGGATCGCCGTCCCCGTCCATTGGTAGCATGTGCACCGACAGTGAAGAGGATTCGTGCACCGAAATAGTCCTACTCGAGCAGGAGTCCAGTCCAAGTAATGCCGAACCGGAGGATGACTTCAATTACGAGGTGCTGTCGGTCAAACAGATCGTTCAGCATCAGTGGCATATCATCGATGAAGTCAACAGCGTGTTAAATCTGCCACCACAGATTACACGTTGCATTCTCAACCACTACAAATGGGACAAGGAGAAGCTCTTCGAGGAGTACTTTGACATCAGTCCGGAGGAGTTTTTCCAACGTGCTCATCTCGTCAATCCCTTTACCTTGCCGCCCCCACACGTTAGCTTTGGCAGCAACTCGTTAAGCTTGGACCCGCAGAACATGTGTGGCATTTGCTGCTGCCCCAGCGATGATCTGCGGGGACTGGCCTGTGGCCATAGATTCTGTGCCGAATGCTGGAAGCATTATCTAGCCAGCAAAACCTTCAGTGAGGGTTTGGGCCATAATATCGCCTGCCCTGCCGAGGGCTGCGACATTGTCGTGGACTACGTCTCTTTTCTGATCCTGGCGGACAACAGCGAGGTGATTGCACGCCACCAGCAGCTGATCACCAACACCTTTGTGGAGTGCAACCCTTTGCTGCGCTGGTGCCCAGCGCCCAGTTGCTGCTGCGTCATTCAGGTCAGCAGTCCGGAGGCACGCGCCGTGCGTTGCAAGTGCGGCCATCAGTTTTGCTTTGGCTGTGGCGAGAACTGGCACGAGCCAGCCAGCTGCTGCCTGCTGAAGCAGTGGCTCAAGAAGTGCCGCGAGGACTCGGAAACATCCAATTGGATTGCGCAGAACACCAAAGAGTGCCCCAAGTGCAATGTGACCATCGAAAAGGATGGCGGGTGCAATCACATGGTCTGCAAGAATCCCAACTGCCGCTACGACTTCTGTTGGGTATGCCTCGGGTCGTGGGAGCCACACGGCTCCTCCTGGTACAGCTGCAATCGCTTCGACGAGGAGGAGGCCAAGAAGGCTCGCCTTGCCCAGCAGCTTTATCGCTCGACCATGGCCCGGTATTTGCACTATTACAATCGCTACATGAATCACATGCAGAGTGGCCGTTTGGAGCACAATATCTATGCCCAAGTGCAGGCCAAAATGAAGGCCATGCGTGAGACCATGACCTGGTTCGAGGTGCAGTTCCTCGAGGAATCCGTCGAGGTCCTCTGCCAGTGTCGCTTGACCCTCATGTACAGCTATGTATTTGCCTACTATTTGCGCAACAACAATCAAAAGATCATATTTGAGGACAATCAGCGGGATCTGGAGAGTGCCACCGAGAAGATCTCCGAGTGTTTGGAGCGCGAAATTACGGCTCTAACTTTTCAGACTGTGCGGCAAAAGGTCCTCGATCTGTCGCACTATTGCGAGCGGCGTCGCACGGTTCTGCTCTGCCATGTGCGCGAGGGCTACGAAAAGGATTGGTGGGATTTCACCGCTGATACAGCCACAGAGCCTGATATAGAGTAAGAATTGATAAATCCCAAAGCTAAGCATTACCACATACTGTTTCAGCACACGAAATCAATCCGAAAAAAAAACATTAAAAAATTTCACTGGAGACTAATTTAAAATTAAAAAAAGAAAAAATATTCCGTTCACACTTTTTGCCCACCAGTTCTCTGGCTTGATCTCCGGCCAAGAGAGCGTTCCAAATTCTGCAGTAAATGGTACTAAAGTATCCGTTAATTATTATTTGAAAAAAATTATAAAAAATATAAATAAATAATAAACGAGAAGGGACGTGTGAGACGCTTCTTACGCGTCAAAACTATTATACCACCACCATATCGCCAACCACTAGATATCGTTCACATTACAGAACACGTAGTAAAAAGCCTACTAAATAAAATGCATCAAAAAATTGGATCAGTTAATCGTATTTTCCAATTTATGAGATATTTAAAACAGCAATAAAATTGGTACTTTTTCCCTGCACATTCTGTGCAATAATAGAAGAAGATATTCATAGAAGATTTTTCGAAAGTGGCGCCATCTATGAAAATGTCTGGTACGCAACTTTGATGGTCACTCTTTTTCTAATACAGAGCGTTAAAACCCGAGTCTTGGTTTTAACTTTTCTTTTTTTAGCTTTTGGCCACTGTTGGAGTTGCGGACTCCTCGCAACCAGTTCGGAATCAAAATCTCGAAATAAAAAGCCAAGTGCTGCTGGTTCGACCGAGTCTGAATTCAAATCAATTTAATCTCTTCTTCTTTTCAATTTCGATATTCACCTATTAAATGCACGTTCTTCCTCTTTCTCTATCGTATTCACATACATGTATGTTCTATAGCAACAAACTTCTGTGAGTATGTCGTAAATTCAACAATTCAATAGTTTAATGCTACAAATTCATTTTACTTATACAAAATAATAATTGCTCCCGGCCATAAGCCCTTTGCCCTAATTTGGCGTAAACAGCCACCAAAACTGGTCATTGGGACAATAGTGCAAATGCACCTCAGCGGTGTTTTGTCAAAATTTAAATTTTTTCTTCATCTGTCATCTACATCTACAACACTTCTCACACCAAAACGCTCGCCGCCCTTCCCTAGACCCATACACTGCAAACTCGCGGCAGAGGCAGAGGCAGCGCCCGCACACAACAAAAACAAATGTAAGCTGCGGGACGGGTGGATCAAAAGTCGGTAGAGGCATGGGCAGAGGGACGGCAGAGGCAGGGGCCGAGTGAAGCAGAAGCAAAGTGTGAATGAGAGAATGTAAAAAGAACAACAAAAGCTGCGGGACATGGTGGGTTTAGCCACTGCAAATTAATTTCTTCGTTCTGGCTATAATAATGATCCGATCGCATCCCAATTTGGTGTAGATATGCCCATTCCCTACGAAATGGCGTTTTTATACCCGGTACTCAAAGAGTAAATAGGGTATATTGTATTTGTGCGAATAACGGTTGTATGTAACGCACAGAAGGAATCGTTTCCGACCCCATAAAGTATATATATTCTTGATTAGCATCAATAGCCGAGTCGATAGAGCTATGTCTGTCTGTCCGTCTGTTCGTCTTGTTTGTCGGCTCGTTCTCAGAGACTATAAGAGCTAGAGCCACCAAATTTTGCATTCAGAATGCTATATGCTCACTCTGAAACCAGTGTATTTCAAAAATGAGCCACGCCCCCTTCCACCCCCACAAAAGGGCGAAAACCTACCAAACCTACAATTTTGAAGATAAAAGAACGCCATTCCGTAGTGAATGGCCATATCTATCTGATCGCCAAATTGGGATCCGATCGGATCATTATTATAGCCACAATGGAAAAATTAATTTCCAGTGGCTAAACCCACCCTGTCTCGCAGCTTTTGTTGCTCTTTTTACATTCTCTCATTCACACTCTGCTTCTGCTTCACTCGGCCCCTGCCTCTGCCACCCCCCTGGCGATGACTCTTCCGACTTTTACCCAAGACTCGGGTTTTAACGCAAGATGGCGCCACTTTCGAAAAATTTGCTGTGAAACTCATCGTTCATTATTGCACAGAATGTGCAGACCATTGGACCATCAAAGTTGCGTACAAGAAATTTTCATAGATGGCGCCACTTTGGAAAAATTTGCTGTGAAACCTATCGGTCCAAGAATGTACCAATTTTATTGCTGTTTTAAATATCTCATAAATTGGAAAATATTAACTGATCCAATTTGTTTGATGCATTTTATTTAGTAGGCTTTTATTACGTGTTCTGTAATGTGAACGATATCTAGTGGTTGGCGATGTCTTCTACATCTAGATGTAGTCCTGAGTGCCGGGTATAAAAGTTGTGACGCGTAAGAAGCGTCTCACACGTCCCTTCTCGTTAGTTTTCTTTTATCTTCAAAATTGTAGATTTGGTAGGTTTTCGCCGTTTTCGTAGGTTTTTATTGGGGCGTAATTCTTCTATTTTTGGACATATAATTTTCTTTATTGTTTTATTTACTTACGTATATTTTTTCTTTAAGTATAAATCGTATAAATTATGTGATTCCTTATTTGTGCTTTTGAATTTTATTTTCTTACTTTCCTCGTTGTTTTAGTAAATATTCTTAAAAATATTTATCCTCTCCACCCAACAGTTGCTCTTCTTTCACCTTTTGTCTGCAGCAACACTTGTTCCCCCGCTGTCCCGTTCTAGCATTTCTTTTATAATTATAACATAACTCAATCTGCAACATTTCTTGTTATTCATTTTGAGAGCAGACCAGAGGGGAAGCGATTAATGTCCGACAATGGACCACAAAATATGGCATGGCATAAGGAAAATCATAAATAAAGCCATATATTGCTGACATGTCTCCAATAACGGATTGGATTTATTTCGATTGAAATGGAACGAAACGGAACAGCCGAACAGTCCATCCTATGGAGTTTCGAGTACATGAAAGATATATTTTCATATCGCGATGGCTTCTACAGAATGTGAATTTTCGCACCCGTGATGAAGTTTTCAATTAAATGTTATTGGATTTCAAATTGAGGCTGCCGCCAGAGAGTGAGAGAGAACGAAGGAGCCTGATCTGATCCCCCTAACTGCAGCCTGGGATTGACTGCCTGGTACCTGTTGCCTGTCTGGTGGCCTGCCCCATTGCCTGGTAAATATTTGCGCACCATTGTTGTGGCAAGTGTTGAAAGTGGGCGGTTGCCATTGCCAAACACACAACACACAAATACACAGCACACCATAATCGTCTATCCCTAGCAGAGTGATTTCTTATGGCAGTTCAATTGCGGAGGTCAGCAACGTGTCAGTATTCGAAATTGGCTCATTGCCACATTGCAGATGCCACACCATGCCGTGCCTCGTCCACTGGTTGAATAATTTATGGATCCACTGTGGGAACACGCCTTCTTCTAGCATAGGAAATTATGGGAGTTTCTTTCTAATATTTCAACATCTCCATCTCATCCAACTCTATTTACCTACAATATCGGCTTGGCCATAAGGCAGGCAGGAAAGTGTCACGTCCTGTGGGCTCATTCTTGAATCTCACTCTCTCTGCCTGCCTGCCCCTCTCGAGCACTCGCCTGGGCGTTAGCTATTTTTGTGATGGCATATTCTTGAATTAAAGTAGAGTAGAGTAAAGCAGGGTCTTACGATGCTGAAGAGCAGCAGAA